TTAACGGATTTTATTTTTTAAAAATTGCCATCGTTCCAATTGGTGGAGGCTCGGCCGAACTTACAGTTTTTTTCTTGTTTACTATTGATTCATGCTTCATGTATTTTTTAACAGCCTAACCGATATCTTAGATTTCACACTTTTATGTCCGTTAATCCTGGAAAATTATTCTTCCCTTCATCACCACATTTTCACTTCATCAATACAATTTCTTTACAGCTTTTTAAAGAACTCATTTCATTATAACACAGAAAACAAATATCCCATTAATATTGGAAAGAGGAAAAAAATTCTACCATTGACAAAAATCTCTTAATTGGAAATTCGTGTTGGGAGTAAATGTTTATGACAACCTTTGTTCACTTTCACACATCAACCTCTGGCATTTCCTTGTCTTTTTTTTGTAAATGAATGAATGTATGTATGTATATTTATTTGTCAATAAACTTTTAATAGAACTGTTCGAATTTAAGTGTTGACAAAAATCAAAATCTACTCATAGTGGGGACAAGAGGAGCTTGAGTGTTAGAATATTCATACCAAAATGTGCGAGTGAAATATTTGTCTTTTGTTATTTTTGGCTATGTGGTTTTATCAGTTTTTCTTCGTGTATAACGATTTGATATATATAAACCTGCTAGAGGTATGACGTGTTATACTCAATTCCTTTTCTCATCTGTTTGATGTACTATTGGAATAAAGTTGTATTAGATACAGATGACACTGGTTTAACACGGAATTTAGCTTTTTTTTAAACTCATATCTCATCAATTCAAAAGGGCGTAAATAAATTTGATTTTTTTTTTTTTTTTGTTGCTTAAAGTTTTGTCTGCTTCGGGAAGAGTAGGGAATAGCTTTATTGTCTACGTGATTGGTTTAATGAACAAAACCAATAATTATAGGTGCGTGACTATTTCAAATATTCATTTAATTAGACAAGTTAGTCGTCGTATGCGATTATCGAAAAGGGATTTCATTTAGAGAATCAATCAATCAAAGGGCAATAAAAACAGACACACAAAACGTTTGCCAAAAATAATTGTCGGTTATATGACAGTCGGTTAAATGTTAGGAACATGACTTGACTACATTATATATCGATAAAAATCGAAATGAAGAAATCAATTGAATTTTTGGGAGTTTAGGGGGCAAAACTGATACTCGTAAACACACATAAGTATATAACCCAATTAAATAAATCTGAAACAATCTGTGAAAATAATTAAACAGGATACGTGCCTACGGGGAATTTGAATCTAATCGATATTGGAAAAAATATAAGCAAAAACAAGTTAAAAAGTATCTCTACGGCTTACCGACAGATGTATACCCTCAGCCAATGTACGGCTATCAAAAATATTTTGACTTTTGTTATGATCATTCATATGCTGTGGGTTCCGAAGGAATGGGCCAAAATCTAATACATATTAAAATATTGGTATGGGCAGTATTACAAGAAAATCAAACATTTTTATCCAATTTATGGAAAATCATAAATTCCATATTCATCTCAGGTTTGTGGCAAAGAGAGATATATTTAGATATAGCAAGTTATAAAAATCGCTGACTTGTTTCGCAAGTTATGACAGATAAAAATATGGAAAATTGTGACACCTTTGTGAATGAGGTGCCAGAAGGGGTTCATAGATATATATCATCTGCACAACATATATTGTATTAGCAAAAATGTTTGTATGTGTGAAATTTGAGGAGAGTTGAGTTGAGAGAGAGGATAGTTGCATGCTTATTTCGCTTTCTTTGAGCCTTTGAGGGGGAGGTATCAGAAGGAGTGGACCGATATATACCATTTTTACAACAGATCTTTTGTTAGTGAAAATAATGTGATGTGATAATGATAATAATGTGAGATAATGTGATTTCGGATTTTATAAACGTTTTGGTTATTCAAAACTTTGACCCTTTGTGGGGGAGGTACCAGAAGGAATGGTCCGATCTCTAACGTTTTTTTTTTTTTTTTTTTTTTTTTTTTAACAGATCCTGTCTTCATAGAAATATTCAGATGTGCAAAGTCTAAACGGCATCAGATGTTAATTTCGCGTTTTATGAGCTTAATGGATACTCAAAATTTCGACCTTTTGTGGGGGAGGTACTGGAAGGAGTGGACCGGTATATTCCACCTTAAGACCAAACTTTGGGTTAATATAAACTTACATTCTATAAAAGTTGCAATTATTCAAAATTTTGACCATTTGTGGGGGAGGTACTTGATGGAGTGGACCTATATTGTCCATTTTCACACCTGACCTAACACTGACACAAATATTAGGATTTGCAAAGTTGGAGCAAAATCGGATTATCCTTTCTCTTTCTGTGCACAAATATATTTTTGAAAATTTCGACCTTTTGTGGGGGAGGTACCAGAAGTAGTAGTCCGATATTATCCATCTTAACACCAGACCTTGGGTTAATATAAATATTGAGATGTGTGAAATTTGAAGACAATCGGACTCTTACATCAAATTTTATGAGAGTTGTAATTATTCAAAATGTTGACCATTTGTGGGGGAGGTACTTGATGGGGTGGACCGATATTGTTCACAACAGTTGCAATCTGTATATAATAATCCCAACCTGTTTTGTAACGTGAAAAAATATTACAAAATGTGCACTTCAATATTAGAAGACAAAAAAATATGAGAACATAAAAAAAATCACAAAATCTATATAAACATCATTATTGGCATCTTTTTATGAGATTTTTTAGATTTTATGCAATGCATTCCGAATTGACAAAATATCAATTGTCAATATCGGTCCAGCCATTCTTGAAATATAAGCATTCTAGCTAACATCCCTTCTCTTTGTATATATTTCGCTATATATATCCAATCTATTTACTATCGATATCTATGTAACGGTCAGAATTGACCTGTTCATCTACTTGTGATTGCGCCGGGATTAAAAATATTCGCGGTTTAATCAAACATTTCACTTTTATTTAACACAAATGTTATGGTCTATTTCACCTACTAAATATTACCCGATGGCCATCAAAATTGAAAGGCTTCTGTCCAGCCCTAAGCTCTAGCGCCATGCTAACTTCCGCGTCGGTCTATAATAATTGCAACCTATAATTGCAACCTGTAGAACAACTACAAAATCAGGAAATTTTTCAGTTTTGGTCAATTTCAACCCCTAAATGTTATGCCATCATTTCCAAAAGCAATAGGCTTCTATTCTGCCTCTAGCATTACCTGCATTAAAATTTCGTGAAGATCGAGCAATAGCTGTCGGTCCGTCTGTCCATGTATTCTTGTGAACAAAATGCAGGTCCATATTGATGTGAATTTTTGCAAACAATATTTTTTTGGCCCAAGAACAAACTCTAGTGAAATTTGTGAGAATCGGTTCAAATTTAGATGTAGCTCCCATATATATCTTCAACGGATTTCGGGTTTATTTTGCACCAAATGACAATATCGGTTCGCACATCCGATCGAATTCAGTCTAGAAACAAATACTTCAAATTTTGGTGAAAAGCGGTTCAGTTACTGCCATATACTATATGTTTCATCCGATTTAGGGTTTATCAGCCCAAATGGGCTAAATTTTGGTAAATCCGACGGAATTCAGCCTAAAAGCAAGCGCTTCAAATTGAAATGTAGATTGGTTCAGATATAGCTATAGCTTCCATATATATTTTTTATCCGATTTGGTGTTGAAATCCCTCACATGCGTAATATGCACTCCAAGGAATAATCTTTATTACCAGATATCAGATACAGCTTAGAAATAAGTATTTCAAATTTTGTCGAGATCATCTTCTATTCTGACCATAACGCCACATCCATGCTAAATTTCGTGATTATCGGGAGGATCGGGTGATTACAAATTAATGGAGTCTATATGTCATAATGGGGTCTATACGAAGACGTGGACCTGCATAGGCAACCTTTGACATAATCCATTACAATATTCAAAGAAACTTGAAGAAAATGGCGAATAATGTAGCTAAAACCATCAAAATACCGAATAATGGCGGCATCAAAATACCATATAACGGTGATATGGGGGCTATACGAAGACCTGGACCTGCATAGACAATTATCTGTCACAGGCTGCAGTAACTGTTGGGAACCTCAAATACGAAATTTTAAACAACTCCAGTGAATAATGTCGCTAAAATTATCAAAATACCGAATATCGAAAGGTACCGTTGTATGTGGGCTATACGATATCGTGGACCTACATAGACATTCCTCTTCCAGGTGGTGAAGTGCTTAGAAAGAACTTCTAGTATGTATTTTTAGGCAATTGCGTTGAAAAATGTAGCTAAAATCATCAAAATACCGAATATAGGGAGATACCGTTGTATGGACCGATATAGGCAATACTCTTCCAGCGAGTAAAGTACTCAGATGGGACTTCTTCAGTTAATTTTCAGACAATTTAAAATTTGGTTGCAATCATTAAAATACCGAATATCGTTATATTGGGGCCATACGAAATCGTAGACCGATATAGCCCATCTTCGAACTTGACCTGCCTGAAGATAAAAGACTGATCCGTGCCAAATTTTAGCTTCCTATTTCTATTTCTTTTGTCTCTAGCATGATTAAAACAGACGAACGGATGGACGTCCTAGAATTTTACCTTATCAAAAATATAAATGCTTTTTTGTGTCTAAAATTATTATTTCGATGAGTTACAAACGGAATGACGAACCATACTATGTATAGTGGAAGGTATAAAAACTACAAGCAATACTGTGCATAACGATTTTTATTTTATTCTAAATTAATAACCAAATAGTCCTATCATTCCCAAAAGTACACCCAAACACTGCGTTCAATTTTCCTTCGCAATGTAATTAAGCTCCCTTTGCGAAGGGTATAAAACCTAACCTAAACTAATTCCACCTTTATTGTCCAAAAATTTAATTTCCCCCTTACGAAAATCGATTAGTTTGTGTGTCCCCATTTAACTTTACCTCATACTAATTAGATAATTTCATCATTTCTTTCTCTCCCTTTTTGCAGACAAATATGTGAAGAGACCGCCACGCAAAGCCTACGGCCGCTTAAGTGCTGACTCCGATGATGCTTCCTCGGCGAAACACAAAATTGATGATCCTTTTGAGGAAATCGATAATTTTGAATTGATAACACCCACGAATGGCAATGCTGGTACGACGACCAGCAACCAAAATGGATGCCATCTCCATCATCACAACAGCCATCACTCGGCCACAAATGAGGATGATGGTGGCGGCGGTGGGGGTGGTGATAGTTGCTGTGAAGCCGCTTGCCACGGTGTTGTGGATAGCGATTGCAGCCTGTGTGGTGGTAATGGTTTACAAAATTCTTGCCTCGAGGGTTCGAACATCAACGACGGGAGCGTCGGTGGGGGACACTGTACCGCAGCTGATTGTCAAGGAAATTATGCCGATAGTAATTTATGTGGATACAACATGAATAGCTTGTGTGGCGGCAGTAGCGCAAATGGAATTTTAAAAGTAACCTCCAGTTCGACCGCATCCCGTCTCAGCAGCAAGGAACTCAATGAAAACACAATAAACCGCTTACAGTCCATGGCGATGTCAGACGACGATGACTATGGTAAGTATTTTTGGTGGTTTTCTTACGACCTTCGGAAAAATTTGAATATTGTCTTTTGACAATAACGTCAAAAGCGTGCATTGCATTTTAATGAGAAATGGTGAGGAACTCGATTGGATTTATTTTTTTGCAAGCAATTCATAGCGCTGTGTGTGGCACTTTGCCATTTGATGGACTTAACAGACAGTCGACAGTTGGACAAGTTTAAGTGCCAGGACTTTGTCGGTCGGAGTATCATTAATGGCCATTAAAAGTCGGTAATTCATTTTGGCCAAAAAGTATTTGGGCAGATGACACAACGAAGTGGCTGGCATTAAAACGTGGTTATAATTATATTATCTAAGAGCTTAACAAACACAAATACATTAAAAGAGTGTCTGAAAGCCAATAAAAGTTGTTGTATCGGTTGTGAGGAGAAATCAATGACAATGGATACTCGAAATAGGATAAAAAGAAAATGGAATGAAATTAAGTTGGGGCGATTATGCGACTGTGAAATGTGAATGTCAATTTAGCTGAATTAACGAATGCATTACAAATGGTCACTATTTACCAACCTCAAGAAGACTTCAAAGACTTCTATAGACAGCAGAAGACCTAAAGGACTTCTATCAAGGAAGACCGTAAAACGCCTCACGGGCATCCATATTTAACAAAAAAAGACCTCAAGTTCTTTTATAGAGAGTAGAAGAAGACATTGAGGGCTGCTATTGTCTAAAGGAGACCTTGAGGGTAGCAGCCTTTTATAGGAGACCTTGAGGTCAACTCAGTATAAGACCTCACGGTTTATATAGACTGTAGGAGACGTCAAGGTCTCAAAAAAAGTAGAATATATCGAAGTCTTGTAAGACAGCAGACGACCCAAAGGACTTCCGTAGAACACCCCATTCTTCTATAGACAGTAGCAGTGGAAGACTTCAATGTCTCTTAGAGGCTGTAGAAGGCCTCAAGGTCTTATACAGACAGGTCAAGGTCTTATACAGAAGACTTCAAGTGTAGAATACTTTGAGTAGAAGACCTTAAGGTCTTTTGCAGACAGTAGACCTTAATGTCGTCTACAGACAGTAGGAAATCAGTAGTAGAAAATCTCAAGCAACTTAAGCTAGAATTCCCAATGTTTCCTATAGGCAATTATAGACCTAAAGGTCTCCTAGAGGCTGTAGAAGACCTTGAGGTCAAACAGATGTTAAAATTATTCCAGTGACAGCTCATTGTTTACAAGCGTAGAAAAGCATTTTGGTGAGAATTTTCCAGAAAAAAGTTATTCGTGATGGAATTCAATCGTGATTTCTTTATATTTGGCTAGAAAACCACAAGTGGCTATCGGTAGAAAACTCCAGCATTTAAATGTGAATAAATATTTTGTGTCTCGTACCATCGTGATACTGGTAGCGTTGCCCGACGTCAAGGAAGTGGATGGAAGGAAACAGCAACATCAGCAAAAATGGATCGAAAAATAAAGAAGTAACTTAATCGAAAACCCGCGTCGCAGTGGTCGAAAAATGGCTCGTGAGCTGAATATTCCATTCGGCAAATCTTGAAAAATGAGCTCGGGGTAAAGCCATTGAAATTCCAAGAATTGCAAGAATTTACACCGCAACAGAAAGAAAATAGACTCAAAAGAGCTTAAGAGTTGCTTCGCTTGCCCGAAAGTGGTGAACTACAGAATTTGGTTTTCTCCGATGAGACAACATTCGTTGTCCAGCAGTTTGATCGTGATTTATTTGCCAAAGAAGTCAGCTGAAGATGTGCACCTTCGATTGGCCACCAGAACTCAAGCGCAGGCCATGGTGATGGTGTGGGCCGCCATAATAGCCGATGGTCGCTCTCCGCTCGTATTAATCGACCGTGGTATCAGAATAAATTCCGAATATTATGGAATGTGCCAAAATACCGCAGAGCAGCATTCGAGTAGTAGTAGTTTCATTGCCCTTTTGAAGGCCATAATTTGTGCCAAAGTTGACCAATTCGAACAAATCTAAAGTTATTCTAAAATTTGATGATATTTCCGACATTTTTTACTTCCATTCTATAAAAAAATGTAGAAATTACGGCGTTTGACTTTGTTGCAGTTTTTTTTTATCTCACCCTGTAGAATACCTCAGACAGCCAATAGAACTCAATGTCCTCTACAGACAGATGGAAAGGACTCCCACAGACCTCAAAGTCTTCTATAGACTTTAGAAGACCTCAATGCTTTTTTAGACAGTAGAAGTCTTCAAGAGACAGCATAAGATCTCATATCTCATAGTCTCCTATAGGCAGTAGAAGACTTCAACGTCTCTCATAGGCTGTAGAAGACCTCAAGGTCTTTTACAAACAGTATAAGATCTCAAGTGTAGAATACCATAAGTAGAAGACCTTGAGTAGAAGACCTCAACGTTTTCTACAGACAGTCCCCTACATACATACAGTGGGAGATATGAAAGTCTCCTACACACCTCAAAGTAGATAGTAGAATACCTCAAGGCATTTATAGACCGTAGGAAATCTCAAGGAACTTGAACTAGAATACCCCATGGTTTCCTATAGACAATTAGAGACCTCAAGGCCCCCTAGAGGCAGTAGAAGACCTCAAGGGTTTTTTATTGACAGTAGATGACTTCATGGTTTTCTTTCGTCAAGGTCTTCCATAGCAAATTATCTGTTATATTACTAATTGCTTTATTAGAACCAATCTCTTTTACTGTAGTAATCATATTTTGTTTTTCTCTTCATCTTTGTATGCACAGATGAATCACTTACCTGTAATGTATGCGATCGGGCATTTCATTGTCATCGACAATTGGCTTCACATCAACAAAAGAAGCGGCATTTTGGGTAACACCCTCTTCGCAACTTTGGTTTAAGTTACTTTCTTATACTTGAATTATTGCCGTCTTACAGGTGCAGCGGCTGCGATAGTTTATTCCCCTCTCTGATGCTGTTGGAACACCACAAAGAAGAGTTCGAACACTGGAGCGATGACGAAATCAGTCGACGAGTATGCTGTCGTCGAAATCGTGGCGATGATTACTTTACCGATACCGATTCCTTTACCAGCGATGCTGAAAGTGAAGATTTAGAAAGGCTGTTATAAATTGGTTAATTCAAAACAAATACATGAACGATGTTTTCTACTCCCCGTATAGTTAAGAAACAAATCCATATCTTTAACCCAATACTGCTCCCTTGGAATGTTTTGTTGTTTCTTTTTTACTCAGAATATAATGGAGCAAATAGAATGTATCTTGTATAAAGAATATGTGTATTTATTTGTTATGAAAAAAAAAAGAAAACAGAAAGTTTCCTACACTCAACTAAATAAAACAAGAAATATCCTTTAATATTCCCTAGGAAAATGTATGATATTTATAAATAAGTTAAATTGTTAAGGTGATTACTAATAATAAGTCTACGTTGTAGATAAAATCAATGTTTTGATAGCCGTTATTAGAAAAATGTTGGGTTTCCATTTTCATACAAGATCTCGTATTGATAAAAATATTAAAATACATCACATTTGAAGAAACTCAAACGAATATTTTGGAATGGTATATTTCGTTTTCATTCGAGATCTTGTGTTGATACTTAATATAAATATAGTATTCATCACTGGTGGAAAAACTGCAAAGTATTTTTTGCATTTTATAAAATTCCAATAAAAAAACAAGTAAGCAAAGGCTACAGTCGAGCGGGGCCGACCGTTGAATACCCTACAACACTATAATAAACGATACAGTTTATATAGGCGAGATACTCGAAAGAATTCCACAATATATTGTGACAAAAAATATAAGAAAACCATCAGGTTCCGTTCCTTAATTTTCGAATAATAGCAACTTGAACTAATTTGCTCATTTCCAATTTATTGGTAGATGTTGCACGTAAATGGTCTTCCTAGATCTGGAAACAATATTTCCCAAAGACCTATAATTTCTCAGAAGTGGCAAAAGATTAACATTTATTATTGGTTTTTGACTGAAACGCATCTATATGAGATACAGACATTTGACTATATTCTTCAACGGAATCAGCGTTAACGAAATAGTCAGAAGTGCGTTTTTTCTGTATTTGTGAATTCTCCAAAAAGTCACTGGAATGGACATTTTCGTATTTTGTCTACAAAAGTTGGCAAACTATTTCACACTTTGAATATTTTTGGATGGCCTTCCGAAACTGCTTGGCTTTTGCAATGCCCGATAACCCCCATTCAAATGTGCGTGAGGATCGGGCAATAATTACGACCTGCTGACAATTTTGCAGTTCTTTTGGTCCATTTCATCCCCTAAATATATGGCGATCATCTCCAAAAAGAGTAGGCATCTATTCTGACCCTCATCTTATCCCCATGCAAAATTTCGTAAGGATCGGGCCATAAATGCGATCTGTATATGATATCCTGATATCCTAACTACTTAGTTTTGTTAGCTGTAGAAATATTACCAAATGTTTAATTCAAAATGAAAATATGCTAAAAATATGACAAAATTGAAAAAATATGAGAAAATGTTACAAAACCAATATTTTCATTTTTAGAGAGATATTTTTATGCGATTTTTAGACGTTTGTTCTTTCCTGCCAAGAGACAATTCTGAATTAATGAGAATTGTCGAAATCAGTTCAGCCGTTCTCGACAAGCATATCTTCTTTGATAGACATATATATCGTACATATTTTGCTATATATCCGATTTGTTGAATGTTAACATCAATGTAAAGATCAGAAGTAACCTTGTCATGGCTTCGTGATTTCGCCGGGATTTAAAATATTCGCGGTTTAATAAAAATTTTTGAATTTTTTCAACACGAAAGATATGGTCTATTTTACCCGCTAAATATTATCCGATGACCACCCAAATTGGTAGGCTTCTTCCCCGCCCTAAACTCTAGCTACATGCGAAATTCCGTCGATTGGTCTATAATTGCGACCTGTATAGCTACTGCAAAATCCGACATTTTTTCAGTATTTGGTCCATTTCAACCCCTAAACATTTGGCGATCATCTCCAAAAGAAGTATGCTTTTATTCTGACCCTAACCCCACCTTCGTGCAAAATTTCGTAAGGATCGGGCCATAATTGCGACCTGTAGCGTGATTACAAATTAACATGGACAGACGGACGGACGAACATACATAGCTAGATCGACTCAGCTCGGCGAGCTAGGAAGATCCATATATACCAATATTTCGAGGTGTTACATAAATTCTGGCCCAATCAAACTTATAATACCCCCAACACATAGTGTTGTAGGGTATAATGAGTGCACGGAAATTTGCAATGTTTCAATCGGGTTTTTGGCGGTTTTGTTTAGAGGGAGTGGACAGATGCGCGAACTAACAGACAGTTGAACGCGATCTAAATTTTGGAACAATCAGAAAGGAAGATGGATATGATTGAATCGATTATACATGTCCTGAAAAAGGTTACCTTCAAAGAGTAATAGAGTAGTAATAAATTAAGACGTTGATGCAACTCTTAGTTCTGGTCATGGTCTGGGTCTGGGAATTTAAGATAATGGTATTCGGTTAGTAGATCTAAACCCCATTAGAGTTTGGGATTTTCTTTAAAAAATGTTCTAAAAACCACATATATAACCTTTACCTTTCAACAAGGATCTCGGAAAATTTTGGTCTTTAGTTGCAAAACTTTTAATGAAGGTTTAAAATTTGGTAGTGATATTTTTGGTATAGCTCCTATATAAGGTACATAACGAAGTGGAAAATACCGCTCAAGTGAAAACCGTTCTATGGGGGCTATACGAATACGTGGTCCTGCATAAGTAATTTTTATCATAGGCAGTAGTAAGTGTTCCGAACTCTATATATAAAATTTGAAACAATTTCGGTGAATAACGTGGCAAAAATCATCAAAATACCAAATATTGGGAGATATCGTTAGGGGATATATGATATCGTGGACCTATATATACATTTCTGTTCCAGCGGGAAACGTACTCACATGGAACTCCCTTTGTGGATTTTAAAACAATTTCATTGAAAAATTTGCCTTAAATCATCAAAATACCGAATATCGGAGGTACCTTTATATAGGTACCTCTACGCGATATCGTGGAGCTATATAGACAATCTTCTTCTAGGGGTTAAAGTACTCACAATGAACTTCTTGTGAGAATTTTCTGACAATTCTGTTGAAAAATGTGGCTCAAATCATCTAAATACCGAAAATCGGGAGGTGGCATTATATTGTGGCTATACGAAGACGTGACCCGTACAGAAAATGTTCTGTCATAGGCTGTAGTATCCATTATGAACTTCAAATGCCAAATTTGGAACAATTACGATGAATAATGTCGCTAAAATCATCAAAGTACCGAATATCGGGAGGTACCGTTATATGAGGCCTATACGAAGACGTGGATCTGCACGGACAATTTTTATGTCAAAGGCTGTATTGCCTATTACGAACTTCAAATACCAAATTTGGAACAATTCCGATGAATAATATCGCTAAAATCATCAAAATACCGAATATCAGAGGTACCTCTATATGTGGGCTACACGACGACGTGGGCCTGCTTACGACATTTTTTCATAGTTTGTAGTAACCATTAAGATCTCCCAATACGAAATTTGAAACGGTTCCGGTGAATAATGTTGATGAAATCATCAAAGTACCGAATATTGGAAGCTATCGTATTATGGGGGCTATACGAAGACTTGGACCAGCATACAACAACTTTTGTCATAGGCTGTAGTACCCATTACGAACTTCAAATATGAAACTTGACATAATTCCGGTAAATAATGTATGCAAAATTTTAGCCTTCTATCTCAATTTCTTCCAAAGGTGGCGTGATTACTACAGACAGACGGACATCGCTAGATCGTCTTAGAATTTTACGCTGATTCAGAATATATATACTCTATTATGAATATTTCGAGGAGTTACACAGTTAATCTACCCTCCGTAGAAATGATGGAGTGTATAAAATGAAAGTGAAATGGCTGAATTGGTACGAAAAGTACTAGAATTTATTAAAAATTTAATATTTTGTATTGGACAAAATGAATGAGCTAGAATTCTAAAAATTGCATAAGAGTCACTGGTGAAGTTGAGGGTTTTCGGAATTTCAAACTTTAGAGTTAAGAAAAGTTCTAAAATGATTGTAAACTTCTAAATTATACCATTTGGTATTATGTGAATCGATAAAGCTAAAAACTGGAAATCTGGTATGTAATAAAGCTTGAAAGGTGAGTTAGGTTAAACAGAGGGGCGAAACAATTGCCACATGCATTGGTCGACATACACTGAAGCCAGTGTAGACCTGTTGTGCATTCTAGACTATGACTGCAGTTTACAGTCAATTACAGTAGAAATTCAATTGCCATAAAAAATTCCTCAACTTTACGCACATTTAGCATTTAGCGATCTAATTTACCTCTAATTTCCGGATGACCTGTAGAAGACCTTGAGGTCTAATACGTACTGAGCCGTGTTGAGAGTAGTTGTTGATTAAATAAATAGATTATCAAACAGTTTTTTTTTTTTTTTTAAATACTGTTTAGGAAGTTATAGTTTTTATAGCGATTTTAATGTCGGTTAGGTCTCGTCTTCTGACACTCCGCAAACTCGAAGGATCGTAATATGTTCGGGCAGACGCAAAGAGATTGCGGCAATTGTTTCTTCAATAAAAAAGTCGCGGTCCCGTTCTACACCCTAGCACTGAGCCGTCTGTATAACAACAGTTTTTAGTCGGCATTTGTGATAGGAATCCGTCAATTCACGAATCTCTGTTATGAGTTGATGTTTCTCCCAAGGCAGCTAAAATTGTTTCAGGTATACGGTCTGATACAAAGTTTTCCATTGTTCTCCAGTTGTTAACTGTAAAGTTTTTGATGGTATGCCCCGTGGCATTTATTTGTCAGCTCGTCCGTCACACTGAGCCTCATGTCCGTCACGGCCGCTTCACTCCGTATCTAAATATCTATTGGGTGCACAGGGTTGCCAATATTCGACGGACCCATGTTTTTTTTTTTAAAAAAATCAAAGAAAAAATTAAAAATTTGGCGGTTGGCAATGTTAATCATTTAATTTGTTCCAAGTAGATTTGTTTACATAAATTTTTGAATATGATATCTCTCAAATGGCCGCTTCCGGCGTTGATGACGTATTGTGCCCTTTTTGCTGCATTTTCCATCGTTTTTGCCAACATATCGGCCGGAATAGCGGCTATTTCTTCACGAATGTTGTCCTTGAGCTCTTCTACGGTCCTTGGCTTGTTAACGTAAACCATTGACTTCAAATATCCCCATAAGAAGAAGTCAGGCGGCGTCAAATCGGGCGAACGCTGTGGCCAGTCCAAATCACCACTTTTCTACATCAAACGGCCCGGAAACAAATTCTTCAGAAAATCGATTGTTATGCGACTTGTATGCGGTGGAGCGCTGTCTTGTTGAAACCAGAACTGACTCATACGCTTTCGACGAATAATTGGCATCACAAAATTGGTCATCATGTCGCGATAACGCTCCTGATTGATGATAACAGCATGGTCATTTTCATTTGGGAAGAAAAACGGCCCAATGACCATTTTCGCACTAACGCCGCACCGAAGAGGCACTTCTTGAATCTCCTGAGGATTTTCAGTGGCGTAAAACCGGCAATTTTGCTTATTTACGGTCCCATTCAATGTGAAATGGGCTTCATCGGACATGATAATTTTGTTCCAAACTTGCTAGTCATCTTCG